GTCAGAGAGAGTGGAGCCACGAGCAGAGAGAGTACGAGAAGAGAGAGAGAAGAGAAGACGAGAATCGAGACAAGCATTATATAATAATATCTTGAGAAAAATACAATTTCCAATGAAAATACTGTGTACATACGGTAAATTCATCCTGGTGATTCCAATGTGGTGTAGCAGCTTGTAAAGTGAGCGAGAAGTCAGTTCATGGGGTCTTGCCAGATATGACTTACTGGCTGCAACACGAATCGTGCAACCTACTCCTAAGCTAGCATTGTTGCACACCAAGTCATCCAATCTTGAGAATCGATCAGATGATGGCACCTGCAAGCACAGAGAGATTTATTTACTTTGTAATAAATCCTATATATTACACTATGCTGCACTATACTGAACTATACTGTACTGCATTATACTAAATTATGCAATACTATATCATATTTTACTATACTATTTTACTATACTTTACTATAGTATAGGGCAATATACTACACTATACTATACTAAATTCTACTGTGCTGTACTGTATTATACTATACTATACTTTCCTATGCTATGCTGCACTGTACTTTACTAAATCATACCATAATATAATGATAAATGAGTTAATACAGAGATGAACAGACAAATAGCCAGATCCAAAGGCAAATCAAAAGGAAAATATTCATAGTCATGCTATCAAAAGAAAATGAGACAGAAAGAAAATTACAAGAAATTCATAAGATACCAAACATTTACTCAATTACAGAGCAACAAGCATGACTGGCCACCTTAGTGATATCCATACACATTACTAAAACCAAAGAGAATATTGATTCATGCTGATTTTTTTTCCAACTCTCTCTCTCTCTCTCTCTCTCTCTCTCTCTCTCTCTCTCTCTCCTCTCTCTCTTCTCTCTCTCTCTCCTCTCTCTCTCTCTCTCTCTCATCTTCTCAATCTCAATCTCAATCTCAATCTCAATCTCAATCTCAATCTCAATCTCAATCTCAATCTCAATCTCAATCTCAATCTCAATCTCAATCTCTCAATCTCTCAATCTCTCAATCTCTCAATCTCTCAATCTCTCAATCTCAATCTCTCTCAATCTCAATCTCTCAATCTCAATCTCTCTCTCAATCTCAATCTCTCAATCTCAATCTCTCTCAAATCTCAATCTTCTCTCAATCTCAATCTCTCTCAATCTTCTCTCAAATCTCTCAATCTCAATCTCTCAATCTCTCTCTCTCTCTCAATCTCTCAATCTTAATCTCTCTCTCAATCTCAATCTCTCTCTCAATCTCAATCTCTCTCTCAATCTAAATCTCTCTCTCAATCTCAATCTCTCAATCTCTGCAATCTCAAATCTCTCTGCTCAATCTCTCTCTCAATCTCAATCTCTCTCTCAATCTCAATCTCTCTCTCAATCTCTCTCAATCTCTCTCTCAATCTCTCTCCTCAATCTCAATCTCTAATCCCAATTCTCTCTCCTCATCAATCTCTCTCTCTCTCAATCTCAATCTATCTCTCTCTCAATCTCAATCTATCTCTCTCTCAATCTCAATCTATCTCTCTCTCAATCTCAATCTATCTCTCAATCTCAATCTATCTCTCAATCTCAATCTATCTCTCAATCTCAATCTATCTCTCAATCTCTATCTCCAATCTCTCTCTCTCCAATCTCAATCTCTCTCTCAATCTCAATCTCTCCTCTTCTCAATCTCCAAATCTCTCTCTCAATCTCAATCTCTCTCAATCCCAATCTCTCTCAATCAATCTCCTCTCAATCTCAATCTCTCTCTCAATCTCAATCTATCTCTCTCTCAATCTCAATCTATCTCTCTCAATCTCAATCTATCTCTCTCAATCTCAATCTCAATCTCAACCTCAACCTCAACCTCAACCTCAACCTCAACCTCAACCTCAACCTCAACCTCAACCTCAACCTCAACTTCAACCTCAACCCTCAACCTCCAACCCTCAAGCGCTCAAATCCGTCAAACCCTCAAACCTCAACCTCAACCTCAATCCTCAGACCTCAACCGCAACTCCTTCAACCTCAACCTCAAGGCCTCCAAAGTCCTCAACGCTCAATCCTCAACATCTTCAATCTCAGATCTTTTCTTTCTTTTCTTTCTATTCTTTCTTTCTTTCTTTCTTTTTTATTTATTGTATTTATTTTAATTTTATTTATTTATTTATTTATTTAGTTTATTTATCATATCGTATCTATGCTATGCCTACTCTATCTATCTATCTATCTAATCTATCTATCTATCGATCTATCTATCCTATCCTATCTATCTATGCTATCTATTTATTTAGTTATTTATTTATTTATTTATTATGTTCTCTCTCTCTCTCTCTCTCTCTCTCTATCTCTCTCTTCTCTCCTCTACTCTCTCCTCTCTTCTCTCTCTCTCTCTCTCTCAATCTCTCTCTCTACTCAAATTCTCCTCTCTCTCTTCAATCTCTCTCTCTCTCAATTTCTCTCAACTCTCATTCTCTTCTCTCTCTCGAATCTCTCTCTCT